TTTATGCATTCACCTCTGAAGCTCAGGCATTGGCATAATAGAACTTATAACGCCAAAGCTTGTTCATAGACTATGTCACAATGATAACTTTCATTGAGAGAAAAAAAATACAGCTTTCATTGCTTTGTAATTGTTTTGTTTATAGCAGCGATGTCCAACAACCTTTTTCGTGCCATAGACCGGTTATCAGCGCAGACCGGAATCCCAGTCCCAGCCCATGGCAGAAGATTTTTTTGTTTCTGTTGTTTGTTCATTACAGCATGACGCATACATGCACAATGGGTATATTTCTTCACACTGACAGTATCTACAACGTGGCCGAATGTGCTCAAGATATTCTGACCTGGTTCTGAGCATTAACGTGGGAAGAAAAGTCCACCACACAGTCCACAAGTACAATACAATACCATACCATTTATTATTGTATAGCCCTAAATCACAAAAGCAGTCATCTCAGAGGACTTAGCAAAACCACTGAAATCACCACCACAGATCAGAGAATCAACAGTTAAAACACAAAATATACACATATGAGAGACCATAGGGAGAGACCAATGTCTATGAATGTTGATTAATGTCCATACATGTTGAAGAACTTTAGAGAGTCCTGGATCATCACCACAGTCCTTCTTGTTAGACACTATGCATCGGCAAGGAAAAACTCTATAACCCAGTGGGAGAAAAGTGAGAAACTTCAGGGAGATCCACATTGAGAGAGGGATCCGCTCCACACGGACAGATGGGCCATAGATCCAGGACCTAAGCTACAGAACGAGGACCAAGGCCAAGCAGCGGTTGCAGAACGTGGACAGGTCCGATGTAGGACTGAAGCATTCCCAGACGAGTTTCAACAACACTTCCTATGATAAAACAAACATCAAAATACCATTTATCATCAACAGCGTGTGATTTTTTCTTTTCTGTTCTCTTACCGTGGCAGTGAGGTTGGACTCGGAACCACGTCTTCCTTATTATTAAAATGTCTCAATGGGCTTCTTTTATCTTTCAGAACTTCCCTATGAAGCAGCAGACTTTTGGATTAAACAAAAAAACTCCAGGTAATAAGAATAGACAATCAACAAACGTGTGTTGAATTTTTCTTGATGCATAACAAAAATTTTGCTTTTTGTCATTTGTCATTTTTGTCGTCTTTATTATTCCATTTCTTGGTTGGGGGGGGGGGGGGATGCTTATTTTGGGGGGACTTGCTTTATTGTGACATCAGAATCAGAGTCAGAATCAGAATCCTTTTATTGCCATGTGAGTACAGGAAGTCACAAACTAGGAAATTGCATTATCTCTCGGTGCAAACAAGTTAAAGCAGAATAAAAACAAGAAGGCATAAATAAATAAAAATCTAAAATATTATACATATTCGGCAAATGGAAATACATTGGTTTAGGTTCAGTAATGCCACACTTCCCAACACCAACTGGATCAATGCTTCAAACTCAGTCAGAATTATCAACGGTCATTTGTTAAGTCAAGCTAACAACACACGGCAGCATGTACAACAGCATGTCATTGATCACAGACCCCTCACTCTGCAGCTCGGCTCCTGTCAATAGCTGCTCAATACCACTTTGAATGTGGATGAAAGTTTTGCGCTTCAGAAGAGACAGGCAGCAGGATCTATCGGGACAATAATCTCAGAGGGCGAACGGTACGGCTCCCCAAGAACATGTCCACGATCATCTATTCACAAGCTTCAATAATGATTCTGACACAAACTGCGGCCGCTGCATTGTGTGTGTGTGTGTGTGTGTGCGCATGTGTGTGAGACTGCACGGTGTGTAGTGTATACTCTGTCCCATTCACATATTTGCCCTGTGACCGCGTGCACCCACGGCCGACTAGTCCTGGTCACTCTTCAAAACATTTAGGTCGCCAAATTAAACATTGCTATTTCTTAAAACTAGAATTTTGAACTAGCCTTAACTAAACATATATTTTTTATACATATTATTTAATGTGCTTTTTTTTCTTATTAAAATGAAAATAAACCTTTTAAAACTTTCATGGCATTTGTCTCTTTTTAATGTAGGGTGAGAAAAGTCGATATCACACATAACTTGAGTTATGTATTTGATATCGGAGAATTGGATCAAAAACAAGCGTGTAGTAAATAAAATAATTCATAATAGCAATATTTCGGGGCACCAGTGAATTAAATCACAACTGATAACGTGTGTTCGACGTCACGTTATTTATTAATTGGCTCATTTATTGATTCAGTAATCATTTGAGTAATTCATTATTCAATTAGCTAGTTACTAGTCCAATTCTATTCAATAGAATCTGAAGATATGAATACTTTCACAAATCAGTGACCCAATTTATGGAGTTAAATCAGTACAAATATCGCTTTCAGACAAAGATGGTTTTGTAGATTTAATGCAGTATATACAGATTAGATATGAAATATGCAAATTGTCAAGAATAACATGAAGGAAACGTTGATTGCGAGATACATGGTTAAAATGCTATGGCTAAGGTGAGCTAGTCTAAAGCAAAGCCTTTGTCCCTGAATGGGTTGGAAGGCCGAGAGATTAAGAGTTCTTAGTTTGAATTGTAGATTTTAATTAAGCCAACAACTGTGTGTAGCAAGAGCAGATCATACAACAGAATGGGCCCTTGGTCGATGGCGGTCCTTGTTGGGTCTTGATGGCGATGAGTGGAGAACAGTCCTTGTCTTGCAGTTTAATATAGACGGTCCATTTTCCTCTGGAGGGCCGAGAGAGCAGAGAGATGATGTTCTCCTTACGCAAACTTCTTGGGAAGAGAGTGTTTCAAAATGGGGCTGGGAGTTTTGTCAAACCTCTTGGCCCCCTCTCCCCGGAAGGCAGAGGTCTTTATCAGGGCGGAGGAGGGCAGCATACAGGGAGGTCATTTTATTCCTCCTACATTAACTATTCACTGCATTCTTACCTGTGTACCATAAAAACTGTTTGATTGGGCTCTCTCGGTTACAATTAGTTAATAATAATAATAATAATAAGAATGCATCTGTTTTATATAGCACTTTTTTTGCCTCTCAACCCCCCTTCACATGTCATTATTCTTTCTCTCAATACATGGTGATTATCAACTACTACTGGAGCCACAGATGCCCTGGGGCACACCTACAGAAGGCAGCAAGTATGTGCAATCGGCCCCCCGTATATTTTGTATATCCATGTTTGTATATCCATGACCACCACCAGCCACTCATGCACGTTCAAAAAACATTTTACTATTTACGCATCGAGACAATTTCTGTTGGAACCTGTGTTTTTCATGGAGAAGTATTGTTAGGAACCCCAGCTTTAATTAGTTTGGATGTAGCACAAAACATCTCCAGGTCAATTGTACGAATAGACTGTATGTGAGGTGTGGATTGATCGCAGTGTTAGCCTTATTTTTTTCCTATGTACTTGTATTGTATTCATGTTTCCTCAACACACACTGTGGCCTATAGAGGGCGCCCCAAAGCCCACTTCGGGGATCACTGGGCTAAGTCTTGTTGTCATGGAGACGTAAATTGTATATATTCAAACTGCTGCGAGCTCACTTCACTTGCTGTTGGTCTCTGACACTTGTGTTGAACTGAAAATTCTCTTTGTCTCATTTGCGTTTGAGGATAAAGCGGTGGAATTAACACTGAGGCACTAATACACTGTGCAAAACCAGTTTGTTGATACTTTTCCAGGTCTGAAAACTTCTTTGAACAACACCTTGTGAAGGATGGCTCGCCCCTCCCACGCCCCGGACTTTCTGCCCCTGGTCCCTGGAGGTAATCACTGAAATGATAACAAAACATTCATCTAATAAACGAACATGACGCTAGTAAACAGTTGTGTGGCTGTTTCGATGAGCCACGTGTTTGTGTGAAGAACTAGCTAGCATGTGCGCTGGGCTACTGTACGAAAGTGCTTCATTACAGAAGCTGGACTTTTCTCTTTTCGTTTGGTAACATGTCAAAACAGCTGCTGATAATGGCACAAGTTGATCAGGAAGGCTGTGAAGTTGTGTTTGTGGGCGACAGCATGTATCAGCGTCTTACAAGTTCATGAGCAGTCACAGCTAGTTGACATGTAGCTAAACATGGAGGCACATTAGATGTTGCTGGAGACGCTGTACACAGGTTTATCTGAGTGTTCCTCATTGATGGTGGTAAGAGTGGTGCCTGTACACTGTCAGATGTACTGTAGTGCTAGAGAAGGCCCACTGAGCTCACTGGGATCAGCTAATACTACACTAAGTCTATATAATGTGCCATAATGTACGATCATAGTCCACACAAATACTTTTTTTGAGCAGAGAAAATGTCCTTCTTATCCAGACGCCTCTGCTGCTTTCCAGCTCTTAACTCATTGTGTCCCATTGACGCACAAATACGTCAAAGCAAATAGTAACGTCGTGTGCCCTTTTTCGCTATTTTCACGTTCCCAGATGTCTATTGTATCTAATATGTATGGGGATGACTTGAGACCATATTTTATCGAGCCAGCAGGTGGCAGCATTGCTCTCTGAATGGTTTGAAAACATGTAGGTGCACATGTTGTGCCTCTTTTTTCTCAACTTTCTGGTGATTTCTGGTGATTTCAGTAAAACTTCCCTCTACTCAACGGAGGATTACAGGGGAACGAAAAAAGCTATAAACAAAATTCTTTTTGCTGAGGAAAGTAGACAGTCCATTCTTTTAGGATCTGGTGTCGGATTTCAGATAGTCATAGTACACAATATTCTGTGGGTCTTGAAAAATCAGTAAAAATCATCAGAAATGGCTGGCACTATGGGAGTACCTGTTCTGAAATAGGCTGGCATTCAATGAGTTCAAAATGTTTGACTGTGTTTGACTTGTGAATTTGACAAAACAAAAACACTTTAGTGTGTGAGGAAATTGATGTTGTCAATATGTTTCAGCGGTTCGGGACCCCCTGGACGCTCTGGAGGACCCTGACCCCTCGTCAGACGAGGAGGACGCAGGTGAGTTGCCGGTAGGTAGGTATTTTGACATAATGCGTGAGCGAGGCTTGGACGAGGCTTCTGATGAAGAGGATGAGGCCTCTGATGAAGACGACGAGGCTTCTGATGAAGAGAATGAAGCAGACTCTGGCTACGGCAGTCTCTCAGAGGAGGACGTCAGTGAAGAGGAAGACGAGGACACGGAGGGTGAAGAGGAAGACGAGGACACAGAGGGTGAAGAGGAAGACGAGGACACGGAGGGTGAAGAGGAAGACGAGGACACGGAGGGTGAAGAGGAAGACGAGGACACGGAGGGTGAAGAGGAAGCCGAGGACACGGAGGGTGAAGAGGAAGACGAGGACACGGAGGGTGAAGAGGAAGACGAGGACACAGAGGGTGAAGAGGAAGACGAGGACACGGAGGGTGAAGAGGAAGACGAGGACACGGAGGGTGAAGAGGAAGACGAGGACACGGAGGGTGAAGAGGAAGACGAGGACACGGAGGGTGAAGAGGAAGAAGAGGACCCGGAGAGTGAAGAGGAAGACCAGGGTATTCCTTCACCCCCCCGTGGGACCCCCCTGCGGACGTGGAGGATCCTGTGGAGGGTCCTCAGCCGCGACCAGCGAGCAGCAAGCCCTCCTCCAGCGCCCTGTCCCGTCTTTGAAGAGGAGCGTCGTCCAGGGGGGTCCAGACGCCACAGGGATGAAGATGAAGAGGAAGAGCCCATCTCCAAGAGGCCACGCTTCTCCAACTCTGAGGACATCGAGGAGGAGCCCACCCCCTCCACCTCTGCTGGGACGTCCGGGGGATTCGTCCACTACTTCCAGCAGCTCCCCCGGCTCCAAGACTCTGATTCTGACTGAAGCTCAGCCTGAGACTGGAGAGAAGGCCACGCCTGTTTCTACAGCACTGTGACACATGTGCAGAGGAGGTCACAAAGTGCTTCACAGGGACACACGCGCCACCATCAGCCGCCCATTTCTCCTCTGGACATTTATTTATTTCTTGATTGATTTATTTATTGGGCAAAATGTTGCCATTTAGCCAAAAAAAAACAAAAAACAAAAAAAAGATTCCCCTAGCACAAGGGTTTTCAGCCTTTTGACAGATATATGTTTATCAAACATCAACTATTCATTCATTAGAACACAAAAGGATGAATACTGCGTAGTCACAGTTATAAAGACACTTGTAGATAAAGCCTTTCAGAGGACACTTTGAAAGGCCTGGAGAGCCACTGGTCGCTCCACACTATAGGTTTAAGACCCTTGTTCTAGGATCAGTAATAGTTTGTTTCAAAAGAGGAGAAGGCAAAGAAAACTATGTAGGACTTGCATAAACTTCCTGAGCAGTCTCCAGAGCAGAAGCACATTGAGCATGAGCAGTAAGTCCACATATGATCCTCACGTGAGCAGAGATCTCACTCTGTCTTCCATAGTACTCCTTGCTTTCTCCTGTGGGGAGTCGCCCAATAACCAGCCCTTTGAACTTTATGTAAATAAAGTTTGTTTATTGATTTATTGATGGTTGCCGGTGCGATACCCACTGCTTTGATGTACTTTTTTTTAAATCAAAGGACAGAAACACTATGTAGGAACATTTTAGACACAGATCAACTTTGACAGAAAAAGCCACAAGTGACACAATGTTTTGATTATATTTGAGAATGGATAAATAAGAGCTTACGCTGACTCTAGTGTGGTTTCCTGCATAGTACGCCTGGCCTTGTGTTCACTCTAGAGCAGGGATGCCCAAGCTGGGACCCGTGGGCCACATTGGTCCCTCTGAGGGTCTAATATGGCCTATGAAGGGGTGAGGACATTGGTCATTAGTCATTCCTTTTGGTGCAACACATAATTATCTTTGGCCCTCTGCCCACCAATATAGTTTTAGCCGCAGATTGAACGCTTGGCCACCCCTGCTCTAGAGCTGAGGAGGATCAGCAGGAGAGGAGGTGGAGTGCCATCTACAGAGTTGGGGCTGTGATCCCTCCTCCTTCCAAAGATTCTGCTTTATCCGTTGATGGGTTGCGATGGCAACAGTCTAAGACTCTAAACACAGACACCCGGGCTTCCCGATCCACACACCCTTCCTCCAGCTCATCCGGGGGAATCCCGAGGCCAGCTGAGAGACATAATCCCTACAGTGTGTCCTGGGTCTTCCCCTGGGTCTCCTCCCAGTGGGCCTTGCTCTGAACACCTCCTCAAGAGGCGTCCAGGAGGCATCTGAAACAGATGCCCGAGCCACCTCATCTCACCACCTCTGGACGTGTAGAAGCATCAGTTCTACACTGACCCTCTTTCTAAGGGAGGGACACAGAGGAAACTCATTTCGACCACTTGTATCTGAGGTCTCGTCTTTTCGGTCATGACCCAAAGTTCGTGACCAGAGGTTTTCATGAGAGGCTCACTCGTGAACAAGACCCTGAGATACTTGAACTACTCCAGTGGAGGAAGGACCTCTGCACCTGGAGAGGCACCTTTTTCTGATCGAGCCCCATGGCCTCATATTTGGAGGTTCTGTACTTTATTTCACTATAATCCTTGACTTCCCAGTGCATGTTGAAAGTCCTGGTTTGTTTGGAGCCAACAGGACAACATTGTCTGCAAACAGCAGAGATGAAATCCTGTGGTCTCCAAACTATGGTCCCCAACTATGTTACTAAAGTATTTTCATTTTATTCATTATTATTTGTATTTTTTTCTGTTTTATTTCATCTATTTTATTTGTTTTTTGTTCGACATGGACAATGTCGTCGAACATATTTACCAAACTTAACTGATGTTATGCATGCAGGCAACTGCTACTTTACAACATTCTGTCTCAGTGGGGGGCTTTTGTATTGTCACTTTAAAACCTTAATGAAAACAATGATAAAGGTACAATGTCTCTCTTTCATTTCCTCACATACATACATCGTATTTAACAGTTTTTAACAGTATGTCAAAACCATCGACAAAGAGTGGGTCTTGGGTCCATGTGTCCTTGTGTGAATGCACATGTAGAGCCTTCAACAGGGCTTTGGAGGCCGTGGCTTTAGATTCCTCGGCCAAAGGTAAGACATGTGCATTCGTTTGGGCTGAGGACAGAGACAAGGCACTTCCAGCTTTGACAGCACTGAAAAAGACACACACATCCCCACATGAGATAGGAGTTTGTAATAAAGTCATTGTGTCATTATCAAAGATGTCTTCAGTTTGTTTCCAGTTTTGTGTTCCAGTTGGAGTCCGCTGCATCATTATGTCCCGGTGAGTCATCTTCAAATAAGTAATGAACTTATGAATGAAAGGCTCCGTCTGCTCCCGGTTCACAGATGGATGTGTCGCTGATGGAGCTGTCCATGGTTTCAACCACACTACTGCAGTGAAGCGCCACTAGAGACCACCCTGATCCTGACTCTACACAGTGAGAGGCCATTCTGACTCTGGACCAATGACATGGACATGTGTCTGGTGAGCTGGACTCTTAGGGTCCATTTAGGACCCACAGTGGAATGCAGACATATTGTTACTTGCATGAATGAACTTGTTTTCATTACAGGAACTCAAGCTCAGAGTTGGAAAAGTCTTGGTTTTCTACAACTCCAATGACTGTTGTACTTCCAGCTCCAGCCACATATACTGTTGTCCAAAGAACACACGTCCAAACGTTCGTAAGTTAATATCGGAGATGCAGAGTGTTGAGCGTTCATTAGAATGTAAGTGACACCAAACATGTATTTGACCAACTGTAGGATCTATTCTTGTGAGAGTGACATGTGGATGCTGCAGTCCACTTCAGGGGAAGAAAGGAACAAGTGCAGCCACAAAGAGACCAGACTCATCCCACGTGAGAGGCCTTCAGTCTGTGTCCTGCTGCTCTTCTGAACTGTGCTCTTAAAACACATTGGTTTTGTTCAGGGAAAAAACCTGAGGGAGGACTCCAGAAGACTTAGGATTTACAACAAGATGACAGTCTACAGTCAGAGCTCTATCAGACTGTTGTGATGAAGAGGGAGCAGCGTCTACAATCAGAGCTCTATCAGACTGTTGTGATGAAGAGGGAGTAGCGTCTACAATCAGAGCTCTATCAGACTGTTGTGATGAAGAGGGAGCAGCGTCTACACTCAGAGCTCTATCAGACTGTTGTGATGAAGAGGGAGCAGCGTCTACAGTCAGAGCTCTATCAGACTGTTGTGGTGACGAGGGAGCAGCGTCTACAATCAGAGCTCTATCAGACTGTTGTGATGAAGAGGGAGCAGCGTCTACAGTCAGAGCTCTATCAGACTGTTGTGATGAAGAGGGAGCAGCGTCTACAGTCAGAGCTCTATCAGACTGTTGTGGTGAAGAGGGATCAGCGTCTACAGTCAGAGCTCTATCAGACTGTTGTGATGAAGAGGGAGCAGCGTCTACAGTCAGAGCTCTATCAGACTGTTGTGATGAAGAGGGAGCAGCGTCTACAGTCAGAGCTCTATCAGACTGTTGTGGTGAAGAGGGATCAGCGTCTACAGTCAGAGCTCTATCAGACTGTTGTGGTAAGTACATAAACATCAAGATCTAAAAGGCCTGTCTAAATAAGTGCGTCTTGAGCTGACTCTTGAAGATATCCACAGACTCCAGGACACGCAGGGACAGGGGCAGCTCATTCCACAGGCGAGGGGCAACGGCCTTGAACGATCTGTCTCCTCTGGTGACAGATCATGAGCTTTGGAAAATGGCCCAAAGGACAAGATAGCAGATACAAGGCTCTAAGTGAGTTTCCTTCTGACTAGAGCCGCTGCTCCTTCACGTCAAGAAGAACCATTTGAGGTGAGAAGAGTGGATTTGGCACAGAACTGTTGCAGACTCCAACCAGCAACAATACACTCAATGTTCTTTCCAACTGCCCCTTTGTTGTCAGATGCAGTGGGGCCTCCTCAGCACCACAGAGAGCCACACCTCCTGCTCCTGACCACAGCCCACCAGTGAACCAGTGTACATAAGACCAGAGCCATGTCTGCCACCGGAACAAGGAGAAGCTCCAACAGAGGTGAGAGTGAAGTACCTCTAGCAAATCTGTATGAAGATTTACAACACAATTTCATTAATACCATTCTTCTGTTTAATTGTGACTGCAGGCGCTGAGGAGCAGGTGGACCTGTGAACCTAGCGGAGAAACTGACCAAAACAAATCTGCAAATGAGAACGCCTGACTGGGACGGTGTGCAGCTGAGGAAGAAGCGGCTCCAATAAAACTCAGGCCATGGTTCTGTACCGGAGACAGATTATCATACCCTCTCCAGGTGCTGAGAGCTCCTTCCTCCAGCGGTGGAGTTCAAGTGTCTCTGGTCTGCTCACTCCGAAAGAAGGAGCAGCGTCTGCAGTGATACTGCCTCTGTATGGGACTGTTGTGATGAGGAGGGAGCTGAGTCTGGAGATGGCCTGGGAACGCCTCATGCAGCTGGAGGAGGTCCGTGTGAAGTGTGAAGAGGGGAGTCTGGGCCACTCAGACTGCTGCCTCTGTGACCCGGCCCAGGATAAAGTGGAAGAAATAGGATGGATGTTTCCAGATGAGCCCAGAACAAGTGACTGAGGGATGGAGAAAGCGCAACATAAGACTGCGCTGAACAAATCCAAATGTGGTCATAATAAAAACCAACAATGTCCAATTCAATTTTACTTTTATTTCTTATTTCAGTAATAGTTTGTGTTGAAGTGCTGTGTTACTTGTAACCAAAAGAGAACAGTCACACACTATTTTATAATAATTGTTCCTGGGGCCTCCTAAAAACATTTACTTTCCCACAGATTGTGTAAAAATGACTGTTTTCCTTCAATGACTTTTAATAAGTACTATAACAGTTGATTATATCTTGATGAAGCTCAGTCCAGAACCAGTTCAGAAC